ATGCATTCATAATGATGTATATAAATATAGATATCCATACGCTAACATATTTTTGTCCTTTTGATTCAGGTTTGACTCAACTCTATTTTGAGCCCTCTGTCATTCCGTTTGGATTCACAGTGGCTTCTACACTTTGATGTTTTCTGCAATGGGTCCGTTACCCCAAATTATGAGGATCACCAAGGTTTGTTACTACTTCGGTCATTTATGGTGGCTTCCGACTAGTGTTCGTAACTCGGAACTAGCCACGGCTCTATTCCACTTTTGGTGATTCGACCAAGTATTTAAAAAAAAATAAAAATATTATATAAAAGTTTTAAAATAAGGGATTTGTTCGTAATGCAGTTTTTTATTTTTTTAATCATTTTGACAAATATTGAAAAGTATTTTGGTCATGAATATTTATTTTTACATTTTCTTTTCATTTTTTTAAAATTTCAAAAATACCCCTGGGCGCAAATCTACTTTTTAAAATCCAATTTCAGCCCATTTGGATGTCTTTTATTTGATCATGCTTTAAATATACTTTTCATATTTTTTGAGATTTGTTTTTATTTTTTTCAATACTTTTTTGACTGCATAGGACTTGCCCGATTAGACCGGTTAAATCGGCTTATTTATCGATTACTAAGAATGGGCCCATGACCAGTTTTCGAGACCGGTTCGATTCCAAACACTGATTCCGACATATTTTCGTGCATTTCCATCCACCATTTTGGTGTGCCACCACATTGCCACGATGACGGTGCCATATAAAGGCTCTTAGGGTCCAAATCAATGTTCGTAAAATCGAACCAGAACGGTTAACCGGATTTGGGACCGGTAGTGGTTTGAACCGGAACCGAACTAACCGGGGTGGTTAACCGTTTTAACCGGTCAAGTAATTCTTTTTTTTTAAAAAAAAAGTAAAAACATCCAAAAAAATTGAAAAAAAAATTGAAAAAAAATAGAAAAACTTAGATTAAGTGTACTATTACATTACATACATTTATCTTACAAAAAAAATTGAAACAACTTTTTATATTAATTAATATTTGAATATTATGAAGATATGTAAGACAATTTAGAATTTGACATTAATTCAATTAATGAAGTTACAAATTCCAACTAACAATGCTAGTAATAATGAGAGTGGCGAGGGGGATTATGATATTGTTGTGTTTCACTATCAGGATTTACGGGGCGAAAAATCTGAGTAAGGCTTGGTGGAGTTTGTAATGCCGCAGTTGTACCCCCTCGCCAGTCGGGGCGAAAAATCTGAGTAAGACTTGGTGGAGTTTGTAATGCCGCAGTTGTACCCCCTCGCCAGTCAGGAATATATCTTGTGGTACCCCCTTGGCCAAAGTCTCATAGACTCGTCTAGCCTTCATGCTCTCCCCCACCCTGTTCTGTGTTACCCCCACCTTGTTCTGTGTTACTCGCATCTTGTTATGTGTTATCCCTACCCTGTTCTATGTTATGGCCCTCAACATCTTCAATATTGTCATCATCATGAATAACTAGGTTACGGTGACAGCTACGACTTCGTCTCTCTCTTGTTGAGTAACTGCTAAGACTCAATGCCTGGACTTCCTCCCGAGCCAATCTCATTAAATCTTCCTGTTTATCAGGCACCGCATCATGTGCGCCCCTTCATATTCCTGGATGACTGGTTCTTGCCAATTGTTTTCCATTGTCCCATCTGTTTCATCATCATGTGCCTCATCTTCATCCTATGTATAATCATCATCCATGTCCATTATCATGTTTCCTTCATTGGATGCTACAACATTCACATTATCATCCATATTGATAACTGCCCCACTAAGAAAATATTGGTCTAGTAGTGAGGTCCTTAGTGACACCCACTCATCGGCAAGGTCCCTCCGAAAGATGTAATCAAGTTTGATCGGCGTGTAGTCTGTGGGGGTCTTCCTTATATGTTTCTCTCTCAATTTCAAATTATAATGAACGTACACTAAGTTGTGCAGCGTTTGTGTCTTTAACCTATTCCGCATCAGGGTGTGTATCCACTGAAATGTACTCCAATTTCTCTCACAGCCCGATGCAGTACATGTTTGACTCAAAATTCCAAAATTCTAACGGCAATCTTTTGCAATTGTTTTGTTCAAATTTATCATGCTTGGGATTGTAAAGATAATTGAAAATGCAAGAAATAAAAAGAAAACGCTGAATATTACCTCAACCGGTCTTATTACATCCCGCATCGAGTCACCACGGCACGAGTTCAACTATCAACCTTCAATCTCAATGGGAAAGCAACTTCAATCTCAATGGGAAAGCAAAGTTTCAAGACAACCTCTAATGAAACTATGAACTGCTATTGATCACAAAATTCGAACTTAAATACAAACCCACAATAGCATCTACTTGCTACTACCCAACATTTAGGTTCATCAAACCAATATGAATAGCATCTACTGGCTACTACCCATTCCTTAGGTTCATCAAACCAATATAAGAGAGATGTAACAACTTCTAGGGTGTGCCAAATAACATCCACTTCTAGGGCGTACAAACCCACAATAGCATCTACTTGCAACTACCCAACATTTAGGTTCATCAAACCAATATAAGAGAGATGTAACAACATCTAGGGCGTGCCAAATGGCACATACTTCTAGGGCATGCCACATCAACCTCGAGAGACAAAATCCAAGAGGTGGGGCATGCCCCCTATTGTTATCAAAGAGAGATAAATATTTAGAGATAAGAGAGATATATTTGTATGTAAAGAATTATGGGCAAGGCAAATAGAATAAGGTTTTTTAGTATTTTTATGGCTTGCAAATTCTTGTGGATTGAATATAAACCGTTGATCATGGGCGACTTATGAGGTGAGAGATTTGAATTGTCCATTCCATAGATGGGCCATCAAAAGGTGCTAGAACCTTTATCCTCTTTTTCGTTTTACCGAATTAAATAAGATAACATTAATTATGATATTGTACTTTTATCCAAAATACTTTTAAAAAATTCATTCAAATCTTCTTCGATATAAAACACTTATCAAAATCTCATAATAACTTGGCATCTAAGCGAAAGCTATTACTCTTATCAACTCAACCCTACAAAATACGAAAACCCCACAAATAAAAACCCCTTAGGCTTGCAGATAAAAAGTCTTAAAATTGGAGTGTGCGACCATGTGGTGGCTTTGTTGGGCCCACTAATTTAGGCCATAGTCAGCTCATATTCACAATGCCGCTAAAATTATTTTTTAAATATTTAAAAATTTTAATAAAAGATTTTAGAATTAATTTGAATATTTAAAATATTAAAAGATCAATATCTATATTTTTATAAATCCAAATTTTATAAATAAAATATTCAGATATCTAGAAAAATCAAATAATAATTCGAAAATCATATTATCATAAAATAAACACAATTAAATTTATTAGATGGGATAATGATCTATATGGTCTAGGAATAAACACAATTAAATTTATTAGTGGGTCACCAAAGTCTGGTTGATGAGCTAAGGGGTTATAATCCCAATATGTGGATTTTATATTGTGCCTAAAGACGTGCTAATGTCGTCTAGACTTGATGCGACAACAACTCCTATAACGGTATCTGTAGAAGATAGTACATAGATGATGTTTTCATTATCACACATAAAGGTTTCATAGTCCATCGCCTCACTCATCTAGACATACTCTAACCTTATCAACAAATGTTATTTGCTAGACCACACTCCCACTTAATTCATGTTCTATTATATCAAATATTTCATTACAAGCACTAATAAGGCTTTTAATGGCTACACTCACCCAACAATCTTCCCTCGCTTTTTCTTTTTCCAAATAGTTCCATTTAGAAATTTACAGCCAAACATGCACAAAAATATATATATCAAGATAACATATAATTCAAATATATTAATAGATTGACAATGTCTTTATTCATATTAAAAAAAAGAGAAAAAGTTTATATAAAGCCGAGGCTCTAAATAATCAAATTAGAGTCTACCTCAAAAATTTCACTAGAAGAGGTTGTTTTGATACTCAAATATCCTCAAATTGATCATCTCAACATCGACATGCATGGATATAAGAAAAAAATGAATCATAAGTTTTGAAAATAGTGTATCTTGTAACTCATTTTTGAATGGTCAATTTTCAAGATTTCCAAGTTTTCATAGATTTGCTCGATCTACACTATTTTTGAAGTTTTAAATTTTATAATTAAAGTTGAAAATATATTTTAAGGCTGTCATAAAGATTTTAAATATTGAAACCACATTCCACAACGCTATTTGAAGGTGCGCTTTACTTTGATTGTTTAGACCGCACCCTTTAAAAAATTTGATTGTTCATGCTCTATGTCAACCTGAAATTTTAGATCAACAAATTTTCCAAAAGCAGGTTTTTCAACCCGAGGGAGTAGATAAACAATCGCTCCCGCGTGAGCATAGTATACGTGCTCCTCTCTCTCTCATTCTCATGACTCTACTACCTCCCACGTATCCGTGGTAATCGTTTTCGGAAACATGTTTATACTCCCGTGTTCCAAAATCTGGCCTTACGCCATCGGACTTTAGGGCTACTTCCCCTCTGCAACCTAAAACCCGTAGAGCCAACAAAAACAAGAAGAAAACGGTAGAAACATTCATTTTACAGAGCTTTCATGGCTGTCTCCCCGTCTTCCCCCTCAATGGCGGGAGTAAAACCAGACCCTCAACCTGAATCACAAATCCCTCCTCTCTCAACAAATCCAGATCCCCTTCTTCCTACCCCTTCTTCCTCTTCTTCAATATCTGCAACTACCCCATTATTTCAGCAAAACCCTAACCCGAGCTCAACTCCAAACCCTAGCCCTATCCATTCTTCGATTCAGGCCGTTACCCCATCTCCTGCGGCCTCCGGTTCTCTTCCTGCTGTTTCTCCTTCTCCGCCTGTTCCTCCTGCTCCATCATTTCGCCCTATGACCCCTCAATTCTCGCCTATCAGGCCTCCTGGTATCTTCGCCATGACCGGTACCCCTCAGTTTCAGGCAAACCCTATGCCATTTGTGCAGGCACCTAACGGCTTTATGCCTATGCATGTTCCTGTTCCTGGTTCTTCGGCCCCAGCCATGGCTTCTGCAGGTGGGTTTTTCACTCTATCCATGTGGGTTAATGGGTCTCTGCTGCTTTCTTCTTCTAGTTTATTTGTTGCTTGTTTTTTCTCAAATGGAATTGCAGAGAGTCCATCTTTCTTGTGGTTTGGGATTTTGTTTTGATATGCCCGATCAATACTTGGATCACCGTGAGAATTCTTCGGCTTTGGGTTTTTGATTTCTGGTATGAGCTTGTTTTTGGATAGCCATTATTTATTTATTGTTTGTTGCAAATGTCAGCATAAATGATACAAAAAATTAGTAGTTTTGGTAATGGTTAGACTGATTTTGGTGGATTTGTTGAATAGTTCATGCTTGACGTTTGATTTCGTGGCGTGCCCAAGTTGTAAAAACTCTCTGCTTTTGAAAGAAAAATGAATTAGATTTCTAGGTTATTGTGTTGGAATGGAAACCGGTGTTTACTCGAAAGGAGTATGGTTACTGTGGATGTTTTCTCCTACAGTGTCTTCACTGGTTATGGTGAGAGCTCGGCTGCCTCCTTGTTGCGGTTCGTTTAGAAAAAAGTGCCCACTTCATCCTCTCTATGTATTGGTATGCTTGAATTTTTCGTAATTTGTGAGTATACATGCACATGAATATGATATGCAAGCTTACTTGTCAAATAAAAAAGAAAACATGTTGCTGATTTCTTCAATATTTCAAATTTTCAATTGAGAACTTCTCTAGAGTAGGGGTTGCTGCCCTTAGATTCGAATTCGTTCGACTAGTTAGTTCGTTATGATGGGGGAGGTTTAAGTATTCAAGTTGTGACATGGTTCCTTCAAGTAGGTCGATCTTCTGTAAGTTTTAAGATTGTTTTCACATTCATGGAATCTCAACTGAAGGCCATGCTAAGCAAAGTGAGTTTAGTTCTAGACTTTCAGTTTGTGCTTTGTGATATTTTGTTCTCCTTTTGTTTCATGCTTAATTTTCTTATATCCTTATGGCTTAAACATAAGGTGCCATTCAAAGTGTAGATTTTCTAATGTCATCACCTAAGATGAGATATTGGGTGTCTCTTGAATGCCATGTGTCACATAATAGCACTTGGTGTTCTGAAGCTTGATTTCAGAAGATGACTAAGGTAAGACGGGCTTATTCTACTATGATTCATGGTAGATGTTATTTTTGTTCTCTTAATTTGTGTTTTGTCTCTCTTCAGCATATCACAATTGTAATACCTTTTTAGGTTTTCTCTAATACATCTATACCCTTTTCTTGTGGCGTAAGTGGCAATGAATTGGAGAATCAAAGAGGTTATGTTATTTCCATCAATTTATTATTCAAACTTCACTTGTTGTTTGGAAGTCGATTGTCAATTGGCAGGGGAAATTTTGGCCCTTTGATTTTCTATGATCTGGTCTAACAAGCTTCCATAGCCATTGTGCCCATTTATGCAGGCATTCCTCGTTATCCTACTCCATTCGTGACTATGATTCGGCCTGGTTTCCCTCCACGCCCACCCACTGCAATGGGTGCTATGCCACCTCTTTCACGGCCCCCTATGCCAGGGATACGTGTTGTCCCTCCTATTATGAGCCCTCCAGTTAGGCCTGCCGTTCCGATTATACCCATGATGGAGAAGCCACAAACAACAGTTTATGTGGGCAAGATAGCGACCACTGTGGAAAACGACTTTTTACTCTCACTTCTTCGTGTAGGTAGCTTGACCTAGCTCGTTTATTTTTCTTTTTGGAACAGCTTGTACTATTTTCTATTTCAAGGTCGTCTATTTATCTTTTTGTTCATTGTTTTGATTCTTTGATTTATTGTATATAACATTATGTTTGTTTGCATCATAGCTTTGTGGGCCAGTCAAGAGTTGGAAACGTGCTCAAGATCCGTCCAATGGGGCTCCAAAGGGTTTTGGATTTTGCGAGTTTGAGTCTGCTGAAGGGGTGCTTCGTGCGCTGCGTCTGTTGAGTAAATTTAATGTCGACGGTCAAGAACTAGTGGTATGCTTTCTCTTTTAGTCTCTTTTTTTTTATGTTTTTTGTTCTCTTTGAAGAATTATTGGAAGTCAAATGTTACCATGGATTATGTTGTCAGTATTTTGGGGTAGCAGTCTATGCAGATTTGTAAGAAATGAGATTTTCAATTAAGTAGTGCAGCCGGTTCCTGGGCTTGGTACCAATGCATTTAATGACTGATTGACTTATCTATAATCATTGAGTTGCCTATTGTGTGTTTTCTATGTGCCAATAAATTATCATAAAGCATTGCATTCTAATATTAAGAAATATTCTCTTATATATTTCTGTATCTTGAAATTTGCAACTTATAGAATGATTGCGTTTTGCAAGAGGAAGAATTCCTATTGAGTTCATAGGCCATTAATTTCTTTCTACTTGACATTTTCTTGCAAGCTTTGTGGTTCTACTTAATTGTTTGGATCAATTTCCTTGTATTATCCATCAAAATAAAAAGTCTAACTAGATGATATTGATGTTGGTTTGGAAATTCCAATTGAGCTTTGAACTTTGCATGTCATGTTGTCCATGTGGTGATGCGGGTATGATAAGTTAGGGTACTTTCCATTATTTTATAGTCTATGTGTTCCTTAAAAACAAAGTAAACCGGCACTCTGTGTACTTTGTTTTGCTCTTTCCTCAACTTTGGGAAGCAAATGAGAATCATATGCCTACTATTATTAATTGTTATCTATTATATATGTGTTTTAACCAGTGTAGGAAAAATCGAGCCGGAATGGTTTACTGGACATGGGCCTAGGAGCCGTTCAACCGGCCTAACCGGTAAAGTGTCCGGTCCAACCATTCTAACCGGGCAAGTCTAGGGCGATCAAAAAAGTGTTTAAAAACATACAAAAAAACTCAAATAAAATATGAAAAGTATATTTAAAAAATTAAACAAAGTACTTCCAAATGAATTTGAAAATTAATGAAAAAATGGATTTTAAAGAATCGATTTGTGCCCAGGGGTATTTTTCAAAAAAGATGGGAAAATGTAAAAATAAGTATTAATGGCCAAAAAAATTTCCAATCTTTGTCATAATGATGAAAAACATTAAAAAATGCATTACAAACAAAATCCCTTATTTTTTCGGATTTTATATCATTTTTTTAAAAAATACCTACTCAATCACAAAAACTGGTCGAAATAAAAAACGACCGAAACTGGAACCGGCTTGTTCCGATCTAATCGGGTAGTTATTGGTTAGACCGCCCGTTTTTTCCTTCCATGGTTTTAACCAACCTTTCAATGGTTAGCAAAGTATAACACATTTTTGGTTTTGTTAAGATTTTTTTTTTTAATGAACTACTGGTATGCTATCAAATGATATTTTTAGTTACAAATTTAATGCCAGTATACGCAAAACTGGGCGATCTAACCACTAACCGCCCGTTTAGATTGGAATCGGCTAGCCGCCAGTTCCGGTTTTGGGTGGTTTTGGTTATCAATCGGTGTTTTAAACTCTAAATAGAATACTACGTGAAATTTCTTTCAGATGTATCAGAATGTTCTACTGGTTAGCTTGGGCATTTAAATTGTATCTTAATCATGGTTCGAATATCATGCTAGCTTATAACTTCAATGTTTTTTGTTTAAGACTTCATTTGGTTGGAGTTCTAAAAAATGCCTGTTCGCAAGAATCGAACTAGAAACTCTTTATAAAGTGTTCCTTTAGCATGATGCGCACTAACTAGTATGCTATTTACTACTTTCTTGACAAAAGAAGGGCCCATATTATGTATAACTTAGTTTTATCTTCATTTTCTTTTAAAAAAAATGAGTTGGACCCTAGCGAGTTACTCGGACTCGCCCGAGTAACTCGGCTTGGCCAGCTCCCGATAACCTTGGCCGAGTCAATATTTTTAACACTGTTTTAATATTATTTACATTATGGTAAAGATTAAAAATTGTTTTGGTCATTAATACCCACTGTCATATTTTCCCATCTTTTTCAGAAAATTTTAAAAATACCCCTAGGCACAAATCGATTCGTTAAAATCCATGTTTTTCATTAATTTGAAACTTCATTTGAGTGTGTTTTGTTTTAATCATTCTTTATATGCTTTTCATATTTTAGTAAATTTTTTTTATATCTTTTTTATTTTTTTCAACACTTTTTTGACCGCCTAGGACTTGCCCGGTTAGAGTGGTTGAATAGGCCGGTTTACCAGTTTGGCCGGTTAAACCGCTTTCGGGCCCATGTTCTATTAAGGTTCGATTTTGTGAACACTGTTTAATGCTACCAAAGATGTTGCCATCGTGTTAGATGTGAAATGTATTGGAGAAATATATGGGCCAATGTGTAGTGAGGTGTATATTTATACTTGAGAAGTGTGAGATGTTTTGTAGATCATTATCATCATCATCCGAGCCTTGTCGCCCACTATTTAAGGAGATTTTTTGTAGATAAAGTAGAAATATTAAAATCTATGCAGAGTGAGAAAATCAGTAATGGCAGTAAAGTGAGTAAAGAATAAGATGTGAGAAACAGAAAAAAAGGAAAGTTACGTATTAAGGAAGAGTTGTATTTTGCTATCATGTTATTTCATTTTGCAGCCATTTGTTATGTACAAGACTTCTTTTTCTATACTCTTGGGAAAAAAGGCTTGAGCATAAAGTTGTAAGCAGTTATGCGGGTTTTAGATTTTTCTAGTGATTCAAAATGCATTTTTTATTGAAATGTTTTTTTACTTTTGAATAATAAAGGAAAAAACTAATGTAGTACTTGTCCAGTCTGTAGACCTATTTTTTCATCTACATGCTCCGCCTACTAGAGCACTTCTCATGCACGAAATTGTGAGTGTATAACTAGAAATATTAAATCTTTGTATGCCCAAAATTGTTTTCTGTCAGGAAGTTCCCACACCAGCACATAGTTTATGCTACCCATCCTATGACAGCTTGATTCACTTATCTACACTTGCGTTGAATAAATTGCATGTTGAATCTAAGACTTTTATGTACACCTAATATGTCTGGTAACCGTCATTTTGAGATACCTTTCTTTAAATTGCAGTCTGATAGATCTAGATCATTCCTCCCATCACAAGGAGGGGCACCAAGTGCATGAGCTTCTCATGGAGAACTAGACTTGCAGATAGTCATTGAAACCTTTAACGAGTTAAGCAACATAATGTTATAGATCTTTGGGAATGAGTCATCAACTTAAAATCACGAGCGCATTGCTGTAGCATGGTAGTCAAATGTTGCAGGTTGCTTTTAACGTATCTATGAGATTATGTCTTCCCTTGGGATACAAAATTTTGCTCGTGGAAGGCATGTCGTCCTTACATTTATGCGCGTTGTCATCCAGGAAACTACAATACTTAAATTTAGATGATGTTCCGAAGCAACATACCCTCTGCCTTGCAACTTCATGATATTTCTTGAAATTTAAATAAAAACCATGAACTTTCTTGGAATTTCTTCATGCACTGAACTGCAATGTCTATGGGATCCTCATTGAATTAATTAACTTGACTTAAAACACCTGGTATCTCTGGTGCATTAGCATAGAAAAATACTTCCCAAGTTTCCTATAATTCTTGTTTCTTTAGTTGCCTTATGTCTTTAGATCAGAGCTTATGATTGAGTTCTTGTGGGCTATCAATTTATCTTGCATTTAACCTGTCAAAAAAATAAAAATAAAAAACAACAATGAAAATCATCCTATCTTGTACTAGGGGGACAGAAACTAGCAGGTACAGTTAAAATAGTTTATGGTATGAGGAAAGTTTGCATGTTTTATGCTTCAATGCCAAGACAGTATCTTTAGTTGCTCCACACTTTAAATGTGAATGAGTCTCTTAAGAAATAAATTAAAAAAGGTATCTTTTCACCATCTCCATTATCCTGGTGGTGTTTTCTTATTGGAGAAAAAGAAGGTCAACAATTAAGGTAGCATGAAGTCCCATGTTCTTAACCCCATTTACTCCACTTATCTAACCCCTCTGCAACGGTATTTACTTCCCTAGGAGTCAAAGATGCAAAATTCTGAAAATCTACCCTTCCCTAAGAGCTAGTGATATCTGTTTGGTCATTTAGTGACAGTCAAAGAATCGACCTCAATTATCCTCTTTGTATTTTAGTTAACACCTGAGATAGAATGATATACATTTAATTTCACTCATTATAGACAAATGCTGTTTTATATAATGTTGAAAATGAAAATGGCAATAGAAACATTCATGAATGAGCGAGGGAGAGGAGGTAGTGGAAGTGTAAGGACAAGAAACAATAAACAAAGGTGTCAGGATGCAAGAGAAGAATTGAGGGAGGGGACCGTTGAGGGGAGAAGAGGGATGGAGATGGGATGCTGGGGAACATGAGTCTGAGGTTGCCGCATGGTTTTGGGAATGACTCGTTAATCAATAAAAAAAAGGTTGTCCCCCCCACCCCCCCAAAAAAAAAAACAACCAATCATCTTGTTCCATTGGCCTTTGGATTGGTTTCATAAAGGGTGCATCAGAAAGAAATTAACCCTCGTCTGTCAATAAAGGAAAAGAGGGAATTGACCCTGTGTCTGCCTTTAACAGCCATATTTCCTTCCATGATATCTACCAGCCTCCACAGATATGGAGAAGTGTCTCTGGCCCTCTATCATCAAGGGCCCACTAATTCGTTAATCTTTTGCATGCCTTTTTTAGGTAGCTTTGGTCCATGTGGCATCTTCATGCCAAGAGATCGTGCATAATACTTTAGAATCTTTGATATGCGTTTTGTATGATGCCTCCAAAGCTTGTAAGGCCTTGGTTTTCGTCGGCCAGCTCCATTGAATTAAGTGTTACATGCCCCGTGGGGATGGCAACTAATTTACGTTATTGTGGTCTCATGCTCTAGCTGAGTACTATTCAATTCTAATAACCTTGTCGGTCCCGAACTCACACCATTACCGTGCTTTAATATTTCCAGGAGATACCAATCTTTTGAATAACCATAATCAAGAATAGGGATGCCTTCTACAGTCTTTAGAAAACTATGATATCTGTTTACTATTTGAAAAAGTGACTAGTGTATCAAACAATAAGGTGAGCTTTCATGAGAATTCCAATCTAATTTTTCATACCAATGGGAATTTTTAGTCGAGCATCCTATACTTCTCTAGAGTTATTCAATTTGCACAGAGTGGACTATGTGGCAAGCAAATGATTGAGAAAAATTTCTGTAAACTTTTGATGAGGTGGCTACAATTTACCTTACTTAGATCATGTGTTTCCCATTTCCATTTTAACTAATTGCATCATAGTGCATGTTTTCCTGTATCCCGGTGCTGAACTGGTGTGTTGAGATAAAATGTTTCAGGTTTGACTTAGTGAGAATTTACACTGGTAGGCATTTCTAATATTGATGAAAGGGTGCCATCCATCAGTATTTTGTTGTTTTTATCATTTTACCTTCCTGTGATTGTTCATGTGATTAATTGGTTGGTTTTCGACAATCTAATGGTGTCATTTTATATGCAATGTAACATTGAAAATAGTTGTATGGATACAAATACACATGAAGGATACCTAAAATGCAAATTGTAATCTGACACTGTGGAACAACTAATAATCGAGGAATATCCAGATAAGCTCTTGATTGAGTTGGTATGATCTCCAACTCTATAGATATTGCAGTCAGTGTTTAAAAATTTGGCCAATGGTCCCCTAGGCAGGCAGGCACAGCTATGATGGGCACCTATGTGGGCCAAGACACCCACGTAGTGCCATCCCCTTAAAAAACTTAAAAAAAAGATTAAAAAAATAAGGCATAAGCCCCCTTTTAAAAAAATGTTAAAATTATTAGAAAAAGTAGGTAAGCCTCTTTATCAGAAGAAAGTAAAAAATGTGAAAAAGGCAGAAGATGATGTAGAAGGCAGGTTCAAGAGAGAGAACAGTCTTGAGAACAAAAACACTAACTGCCATTGATGTTGAAGAGAGCCACTCCTCTCCTTTGCCCCTTCTCTTTTTCCTCTCTTCCATAAACAAGAGCAGGGTGTTGCAAAAACAGCAGGAGAATAGAGAGAGACAGTAAGAAAAACCATAATTGCCATTAAGATT